TAAATTATAAATTTTGTTTTTTTTAATCAAATAAAAAATCTGATACTTTTTTAATTTTTAATTAACGTATGTTGTTTATAGTTTTTAATAAATTATACATTTTGTTTTTTTTTTATTAAATAACAATTCTGATAGTTTTTTAAAATTTTATAAACTTTTATTAATTATATTTTTTAATAATTAATAAATTTCGTTTTTTTTTACAATTAGAAATCCTTATGATTTCAATGTATTCTTCATGCTGTGGTATAATATTAAGAGGTTATAACTTGCTTAAAAAAACTAGCTCTATTATAACTGTTGACTACTTATTCAAAGTGATTACAAGAAAAGTGTTTAGTATTACAATCGAAGTGCATGTTTATAATTATATCAATCACTAAAAGAGGGAATTGAAATATTACAGAATATCAACAATTTGAGTTCTAAATGCAATTTTAGATAATGCAAACCATCAATAATTTGTATGCTGAAAGTTATCTGAAATTTCAAAAAAAAATTCAATTTTTTCTATATTATAATAAGTTTGATTATGGTTATGAAATTAGAAAACAATTTTATTGGCAATTAAAATTATTTCTCCAAAAGTAGTTGAAAAATAATAAGAATCTCTTCAAATCGATTAAATCAATCCAACTCCTTTTGTACCTCCAATAACCTATCATATTAATGGAACTTTGTTAAGTTTGTGAGAGAAGGATTGCTTTTCAAATTTAATAATCAAAGAATACATTAAATGGTTAATAATCTAATCTCAAACTAAAATAAATAAATTATGAAGGAAAAACTTGACATCCTTTTTTTTGAGAAGAAATAATTTTGCATTGAAATATGAATATTGTTATTATTTATAATGTTTATGAAGCAAAAAAACTTTTTATAAAGTGAATTTCCTCTCTATCAATTTTTTTACATGATCTGCATTAAATTTGTCATTTGAGTATTAATGAGTTATTAATCTATCAATTGATGATTTAAAATTAAAGAATTAATCTAAAATGATTATCTATTTCGTTTAAAATCATTTTCTTAATCTCATAACTTTAAACTAAAATGAATTTTGTATTCTATCAATTTATTATTGGACAGGGAAAATGAGCTATAACAATATATATATATTTTAAATTAGTTTAGATTTCTAAACTTGACTCTTATTGTACTTTTATGATGAAAAATTCTTAATATAAGCTTATAATCATATTTTTGTTACGCACAATAATATGATAATTACTGCAAAAAATATTAAAATAATATTTTTGGTTATAAATATATATTAACAATAATTTAATAATAAATTAGAGAATATAAAAATTTATATTATTAATTATGTGATGGTAATTCAGAAGCTTATATTTATAATTTTTTATTTTGCATATCATGAAGGCTTGTATTAGATATCAATGATAAGCATTTTTTACATTTCCAAAAAAAATAGAAAATAAACAGCATTAATATAATAAAAATTAAATATTTATTCGAAAAAATAAAGGACTTTAAAAATTCGAAATTAAATGAATATATATAATCATTATTAATTTATAAAAAATGATATTAATAAATATTATATTTTATTATGTTTTGCTTTGATTCCAAAATAAAGTTATCTAAATATTCAATTTAATACTTCTATATATAATTAATTTTCAAGAATATTAAGTGATTATTTCAAGATAAATAAAAAAAGTATATTTCTTTTCGGATTATAACTAAATTTCTAAAGTTGAACCCACAAACTTCAAACATTTATAATTGATGGTCTTAGAAACAATTGAAAATGAGCTAAAGTATTATGATAGTATTATAAAGGAAGATATGGTAATTATCTAATGTATTTTTTTTATCAAAGAAAAAATGCATATACAATTAATAAATTAATGAATACCAAATTAAAAGGGTTTTAATTATAACAGGATAATAAAGATGAATAATTATTATATTAGTTTTGGAAATGGATTGAAAACATTTTATGAATTCTTTAGATTATTTATAAAATTTATTAAAATGGGTTGCTGCGCAGCAAATAATAATTATAGTTAACAATTGCACCTTATCCGATATTAATCTTTTACAGAAAATGATAAGAATTATCCATAAATTTTGTTAGAATAATTTAAAAATCAGCTTAATGAGTTAACAATCATAAAGGAAGAAATGAAAAAATTTTTAACCACTTCTGATTTTAGTGAGGAGGATTATTTAATTACATGCAAGAATTTCTTTGACGGATATTTTACTTTATTAAAAACTTATCATAAATAAAAAACAATAGAGGATTCAATAATAATTGAAAAAATAGGGGTAATGCGTGAATTTATCTCTAATCTTGAAATTGATATAAAATCAGAAAATGGAGAATTTGAAAGATGGTAATCCGAATTCTTGGTTAACTTAAATTGTCTCGAACAAGAATCAGGAGAACTAGGTGAATTTTATATAATAGCAAAAAGTGAGCAAAATTTAATTAAAATAATTTCCGTTTTGGATAAATTTGATGATAAAATTTTAATTTTTCATTAGGCCTGGCTCTAAGTTTAAATATAAGAATTACGAGAGAGATTATTTAAACATAATGAATAGATGATAGTAAATTATTCGAATTATTTAATTAACTATCTAAAAAATGGAAATTAAAAAAATTTGTATAAAAACTTGTAGGATTAAGAAAAGCTATGTGAAATAAAAAAAATAGAACAATTAGGTTATAGATTAGCATAATAGTTATTGTATTTAAGAGAAAATTAATTTGATGTTTTGTTCAAATCTGAATTTTTAGATATGGCATCTCAACTATAAAAAAGTTTTACTTAGGATTATGAAAAATATATAATTCAACCAATGATTTAATTGATGGATGAATTCTTAATTTAAGAAGAAATTTAATTATCATCTTTGACTATATTATTAGAGGCATTTGAATTAGTGAAAATGGAGATTTTTGATTAAGAGTTTTATTGTTTTCATATTCATTAAGCAGAATTTAGTATAAATAATATGAAAGATATGCATAAAAATTTTAATAAATCATTTACAAAATATTAAATGTAATACTTAACAAAGTAAAAATAAAACTTAGATAATGCTTTATAAATTTTTGAACCTTATTATCATTTATCAATGAAAAAGATTTCTTTAAAGATAGCAGAATAAATAAATTAATATTTTTCTAGGTTGGAATGCATAACATTAATATTAAATGCTTAGAAAAGGAGAGAATAAAAGTTATCAGTATTTATTTAAAATTATGGATAAAGATGTACATAAGATTTGGTAGAACTTTAAAAGAATTCAAATAAATTTTTAGATTTAAAAGGTCTGAAATTGCATTAAACTAGTGATCAAATAACAGAAATGATAAAAAATTATTAATTGTGTTTTTCTAAAATGCAATAGACTTACTTATGTAATTTAGGATAATTAATAACTTAAGAAACAGACGAGATTGGTTCATTGGGAGAAGATAAAAGTTAGGAATAAAAGAAAAGAATAGATTAATTGATGTAAAACATAGACAAAGGTCTTTTAAATGCGAAGTGTTTAATGATAAAAACAGATGATACTGTTTTAATTGAAAAATAATTAATTATGGCACTTGATAAATTTATATATAATAAAGATTAAAAGAAGAGAGTATCATAGTTGAGTGATTATGCTTTAAAATAAAAGTAATAAATAAAATCAACTACAGCATTAAATTCACCGAATTCTGAAACAAATATTAGTAAATAGATTAGATAGAGTACTCCAAAAAGTGTTATTGTAACAACATCTAATAATAATAATTAAGAATTGGAACCATGGGCAAAATTAAAGAGAATACCATTAAAAATAATTAGTTAATGTGGAAAATGTGATAACTATGCTGCTTATTAAGTTAAACATGAACTATGTTAAACTGATTATTTTTTAGATATGAATGGATTTGTAAGATGCTCTAAAAGATTAATATCGTCTCCAAAAGAGAAATCTTGTAAATTAAAACATATTACTGATTAAAAATTTGTTTGTCCATACTGCAAATAAAAATTTGAATTAAATAAATTTGATAAGTTCATATAAGCAATAATAAAAGGTTTGGATTATGGCAATTTACCATTTGAATCTAAAGATATCTTATTATTTTTTAGGAGAGTTTATGAAGAGTTTTCAAAAATCTATTATAATTACTTAGTTATTTAAATGAAGACACATTCCGAATCTCCAATTTGATGAAATTAATATGATTATTATATTGAATTAATATGAAAAACTATAATAAATATAAATCAAAAATCTGATTCATATAAATTAGTTTGAGAATCTAAAACACGATTTGAGTAATTTAAGAATTTTTTATCATATGCAGTACCCTTTTAATAGATTTGATCAATAAAGCTTCTTCTTGGTTCTTTACAAATAATTCTTTTTCCTTATCCTCTATGTCTTGATTCATAATATAATCCTGAATCATTTAAACCATCAGTTTAATTATAAGTATTTGGACCTGGACTACTCTATCCTAAATTAATTTCTAAACTACTTATTTTTAAAAATCTTTCTTATTTGCCTATTTTATAGCATCTTGAACTTTTATATCTAGAATAAATAGTCTAACCCATTTAATCAACATCTGTTGAATCATATTTACCTGGTCCAGGATTGCAATCCAAACTTTACTCTTATAAGAAATCTATTCCTCTAATAATTAAATACTTGGTAACCAGTTTGATTAAGTTTTTGGTCGCATTGTATATTATATTTTAGGATCATAACAATAAGAACAATTATAATTGCCTACTCCAGGATTTCTTTGAATTCCTTAAGTTATGTATCCTAATTCCTTGGTTTTCTAATAATGTATAATAATTAAATGTTAACCTCTCTTGAAATTCCAAATGAAATTCCTTTCTCTTTAGGAAAATTAAAGAGACTTGTAATCATATATTTTGTTGGAGGAGGAGCATTACTAGAAGATTTAGTAAAATCTGATCGAGGACCTCTACCTATTGAATGAGCTCTATTATTTAAGCTTCTATTTATATTATAATTTGCTGTTAGATAACTATATTAATAAATTAATATTAGTACGTTGTTGTTGCTTATGAAAAACGTTTTGCTTTAGAAAATGAATAGCACTTTTTTCCTTTATTTTTAGTATGTTACATTATAAAAATAATTATAGATAAAATTATTTCATATATTTTAGTTATTTTAAAATCATAAAATAGTTAGATGTAAATCAAGATGGAATAATTTTATCAATCTTTTTATGTCCACAAGGCTTTGTTATTTTATAATTTTTAGCATCTAAATAATTTGTTTAAGTCTTGAATTAGTTTAATATCAAATCACTATTTTTAAGATTAAAATAATCAGCATGATTTTTGATAATTCTTTCTTATCTACATAAATTGTTTATTAAAGAAGAATCCATATGTATAATTCGAAATTCTATAAACATTATTTAATTAGGGTCTAAAGATGATAATTTATATATTTATTTCTATTCAACTTTGCATTTATATTATGCGCCTTCATAAGTATTTAAATAAAAATCAAAGTATTCTCTACCTTCTACTGAATATTTAGCAAGTTCACACCAATTTTTCAAAGTTCCATCTAAATTAAAAATAGTTGGTAATGCTTAAGTTTCTTTTAAATGATCAAACATCATATCTTTAGTTATACCCATAACATCTAAAAATTTTTAATTTAAAATTCTTTATGATAAGATACTATTGTTTTGATTAACATTTTATATAGTACATTAGAATGGAAATTAAGACACTATTTTTTCTAATTCAAGCAATTCAATTTCTGATAGTAATGTTTAATCTTTAAAATTGTCAAGAATCTTAAATCTATTTTCTACACATTCTAAGGCTTATTCACTATATTGATCATTCATATTTTTTATTATATCACATACCTATTACTTTGAAAATTAATCTCTGTCATATTGTTCTAAACTAAAAAAATATAAATCAGCATATTAGTCAACTCTACAAACTTTATAATTATATGTGCATGGATTTTCACGTAAACCACCCAAACATCTATCTTATGGACATGACAATGCTAGTTTTAATTCTACTGCTGATTTTATAAATGTAGAAAGTGGTCTTGGAACCTATAAAATAGGAATGACAACTTTATTCGAAATTATATGTTAACTATCTCTCTATTCTGTTAAATATATCTATATATGTCTTACTAAGTTTGCATATAGTTTTTGTTACTGCTATATGTTTTTGTTCCTCCTAGTTAATATTCTTCCTTAATTTGATTAATAAGCTCATTGCAAAATTAAAATTAATTATATTTCTTTAAAGCATATCATGAATACTTATATTATTCAACAAACTAACACATTCAACACCTTACATTTAATTAATTTATATTATTATACAATTATCATATTTTTTATATTATTTAATAATTTTCATATCTAATATTCACACAAACAATTACAATTTTATGTGAATTATAAATATTCATACAACCATTTTACTTTAATAATTAGTACATTCTTTTCTTATTATAAACAATAAAAACACAAAATACCATTTTCAATTTAAAGTAAGGTATACAATTAAATCTAAATGTTTTCTTCTATTCTGAACAAGGAATTTACTTTTTAGACTTATTTCAAAGTTCTCCTTTCATTTTAGGTAGGCAATTTAATAATATTTTTAGAGTGTTCTCAAATCTATTGATTTTGCAATCTATTTATAGTTTCTACTTTTATAAAACCAAAAATAGGTTTACTTGAATTATAATATTGAAAGTACTCTAACTCCAATTTTAGTATTTTTTGTTTATAAAAAATAAAAATTGATAAATTCAGCCACATAAAGTTTGAAATAGGAATATAAAATAATGTTTACTATATAGACTAATACAAGCTAAAAATCATAGTGAGTTTTGAACTGATTGTTTATTTTTGTTTTAATTAAATGTATAATTATTGGTATATTGATTATAAAATGAAAATTTTAATGGTTAGAGAAAAAAGGTTTATTGATTATGAATTAAATTGTAAAAATAATCAATATGCTAAATCTTGATAAAAATAATATACTTGGATAAACTTTTAATCTATTAAATTCTGAAGGAAATAAGGAAATTTGAATTTTTAGATATAAAAAGTGCCCAATTAGAATTAACTCAATGTAGTTGAAACTTTATCTTCTTAAAATGATGAAATTTTAGAATTTAAAATAATCCACAGAATATCAAATTCTATGGGGTAGTATATTTTTTTAGTAAAAAAAAACACACATTTGTATTAAGAAATTTAGATAAAATTCGATATAAAAAAGAAAGGAATGAAGTTATAAATTAAGTTTAATAAAGCATTAACAATAATAAAGTATTATTGATTTTTTAAAACTCATATTTTAGCATTTTTGTTAATGATGGGATGACTATTTTAATAAAGAATTGATATTTATATAAATTTTATATATTATTTATATATATTAGATAGAAGATTTTGATTAACTATAGCTAAATTTTTAGGACTTATACTTTTAAAGATATAATAAAAATGTAATTCTCGAAAATAAAATCTCAAGACATATGGTTTTTTTTTTTGATAAAAATTTAAAAATCTTTATTATTTAAAATTGGTAACATATTTAAAGATTCAATTAATTCTTAAGATGCATCAGAATTTATTTATAAATGAGAGACTTTGCTTAGTATAAGTTATTAATTATGGAGATAAGAATTGAAAAATTGACTTTTTTGATAAAAATGCAAATAGGAAGCAGTTAAAGTGTAAATTTATTAAACCCAAAAAATTTGATTATCCCAATAAAGGTAAATGTAAAAAAAGTGATAAAGAAGGAGATAAGTATAATAAAACGATGGTAGATTCAAATTTCGGTAGATTTTGATAAAAAGAGTTGATAACTTAGGTTGAAAGGCAAAGCGAGAATAGTAAAAGAATATTAAAATAATTAAATGAAAAATCTTTTTTTAAATATATGCTTATTATTAGTATAGACCGTACGAGTCTAAAAGGTTATGGACACATATAATAGCGTGTCTGTAAAGGGAATTGAATTTGATTGGAGCTCTAGAACGATACCTATTGGGGACGAGTAGCTATTAATAGCTTAAAACATAAGGGGATATGATTAGTTGTTTTAAGTTCAATTAATGGTGTTAGACATAATGAAAAATGAAGTAGTCAAACAAATAACGATCGGAGGAGTTGAAGAGAGTAACTATTGTCCAGATATAATAATTATGAATAATTCAATTTTTATAGCTTTTATCAATGAAAAGGGAAGTGTGTTGAACGTATTGATGAAAAAATTTAGTTTATCTCTTGAAGAAACAGAGGTAGAATTAAATTTAGGAGAAACATTGTAAGAGGCAAAATCAAATTAAAATATATAATTTATATACTTAAGTCAGTTAAATTAAAATTTATTGTCAATTTAATGGTATTCAAAGGGAAAAGATTATCCTACTAAATAATGGAATGTGATATTGTATAATCCTATCACGAATGTGTTAGGTGAGAGAATTATATTGCCTGATAGTGATTTTATATCAATTGCTATAAATAGATAGGGAGTTATTGCAATAGCTTAGACAGATAATGAATACATTATATTATCTAAATTATATTAAGGTAAACTTAGTACAAAAGCAATTTAAAGCACTGTTTATTATGGTTATCGACGAAGAATTAAAATAAGTAGTTTACCTACAAATGAATTCATAGTTATTACATATACATCAGATTAAAATTTTAGATTAAGAAGGTTTGATAGGAATTTTGAAGCTATTCATAATCCTATTAAAATTGAATCTGGTTATTGTGGTACAATTTTAGTCCAAGGGATTGATATTGCATTCATGGATTCTTAATTAGTATTAGTATATAAATGCGATAATGATATAAAAATCTTATAAGTTGAACTAATGAATTATAAAGATGATTAATATCTTTCTGAATAATCAAGATATATAGAAATTGATAATACATAAAATATCTAATCAATGTAGATTAATTATATTGATCATAATCGATTGTTAATTAGATGGTTTACACCAAAATATTATTACAATAAATTATAAGTTTAGTTAATAGATATGAACTTATTAATTAATGAATGTATTTTAAATTGTGATAGATGTGATAAATAATTTAGGTGTCAGTAATGTAAAGAAAATTATTAATTGGATATAATAAAAAATGAATGTTTACCAATTTGTCCAGATAATTGTTTACATTGTTCTGATGCTACTTATTGTGATAAATGTAAGTTAGGATATTAATACACTAAAGAAAACTTATGTATAAGTCCAATTAATAATTTTATTGATTTAAAAGTAAGTAGTGAACCAGAATTAAAAGGTAAAGGAAGAATATTTAACAAGGAATTGTATTTGATAATTATTTATAGTATTATTAAGAATGATAAGTAATAATATTTGGTGATTCGAAAACTTGACACTAAAGGGAAATTATTGAAGAAAGTTGAATTTTAAAAAGATTTATATACAATATTAGATTATGATATTGCTGATTCTTTTTAGGAAGATGTCTTTCTAATATTAATAAAATGGATATCAGAAAATGGATCAACAAAAATCATAAACTATTAATATTACTTAGAAGATTTAACTATTAAGGAAGAATCTTTAATCACAGAATCATCTCAATATATGATTGGAGATTAAATTAAGATTGTCAATTATAAATAGAATAATCTAGCTTATTTTTATTTAATTAAAAATAAAGACCAATATTATTAACTCAAATATACTAGAATTGATTAAAACAATATCATTTATGACTATAATGGTCTTAACTTTGATTAAAAAGGTAATTACGAGATAGCTTCGTTTAGATCTGCAGATGGAACTGATTATATTCAAGTTAAAGACGATTTTTATCTTCATTAATGTACAATTTATGATACTTACTTGTCATGTTCTAAATACTATAATGAAGATAGAATTGAATTCTTATCTTAGAAATTATTTCAAATTGATTCAGTTTCATTATATATAGATCATGATATTTATTGGAACAAGCAATTATATCTCAATAATACTAAAGACTATAACATATAAATTACATAAACATCAAGAAATCCTGAAAATCATACATTCATTTAGATTGGACAAGATAATATTATAATTTTATGGTCTGGTATCTCAAATATTTAAGAAAGCAATCCAATACCACATATATATATTTAAGGAGTTTCTAAAAAAACTAATTAAACTACTAATTTGAAATCTTTTATTTGTCCTTCTGCTTGTATTAAATGTTCAGAAACTGGGGTATGTTTATAATGTAAGAATACAAATTACAGTTTAGAAAAAGGAAAGTGTAAATTAAAATGTATTAATAATTGTGAATCTTGTTTAGTAGAGAATGAATGTTTAAAATGTAATTCAAACTATTTCTTGGATTCATTCTCTTAATGTGTAGAATAAAAAAAAGATTAAATTTAGTAATAATAAAATAATATATATCCTACAGTATTCTAAAATGCAGATGGCACAGTATCTATAGTATCATTTAAGCTTAATAGTACTAAATATGAAGTTATTTATGAGGAATTTGATAGATAAGGATAATCTATATCAGGAGAAATCAGAATTACAAATGATAGTAATTTAACTCTATTATTATAATAACCTAAATTAATTAAAAAAGGTTAATATATTGTAATTAATTATATCACAAGAGATGAATTAAATAGTTTTTAATATAAAGCTATCTTTGTTACCTTAGATTATTCCTATCAAATACTTTAAAATAATGTCTAATTTACATTAAATAATGATGCTTTAATTGATTTTTATGTAATTGATAGTATATTACATATATTCTATGTTTAAGACTATTATAATAGCAGGCCTTGGTTATATTATAATCAATAGAAAATTCAAAATGGATTCATGACTAAATAATATGAGACATATTATTCAAATGCATTTGTTGAAAAGACAAGATATTAAAACTTTAGATTATGTTCATTTGTCGCTCAAAATAAGTTTTCAATATAATATACTGAAGTAGGAGGAATCGATTAGCTTGTATATTTAGTAGATTATGTAAAATTAACATCAACTAAATCTACAATTACAAGTTATTATGAAAATTACCAAAATCATTTATAACTTTATACAATTTAATATAAGGCTTTTAGCAATAAAAAATTAAGTATTCAATTCTTAAATTAGAAATCTTCTCTTTTAAATGAAGTCTTAATAGAATCAACAACTGAATTATCAAGATTATAAGTTTTGACTACTTAATAATTTATATACATTTTATATGTTGAATAATCATAATCAAACATTGCAATTATAAATATCAGATAATATGATTTGAATGGATTATAAATAGCTACAACTCAAATTAATTCAAATGAACAAAGTATTGATCATTTAAGTTGCAACATTAATGAATTTATTTATATAACTTGGAGTTCATTAAGAAATTTAAATTCATATAAAATAAGATTAAATTAAAAATTATAAGCAATTCCATTTAATAATTAAATATGCATTTCTAGATGTGCAGATTGTACTAATGATAGAATTATGTGTGCTTAATGTTCAGATGGATATTAATTTGATGAATTAAAATTGTAATGTGTACCAATTTGTTCAGTCAACTGTTAAAATTGCACATCTCCTAATACGTGTGATTATTGTTATGTTAATTTCAAATTCATAGACAATAAATGCCTTAATGTAACTGAATATTAATTGGAAATACCAATTTGTTAATAAAATTGTTAAGGATTAGGTTCACTTTTAACTTTTGATGATAATTCAATGATCACAACCTTTTACAATTATCAAAACTAATAGCATAGTTTGAATTCAAACATATATTAATTAGAATCTAATATTGTAACATAAAAGTAATTAATTACTTCTGATACAGTTATCCCATACCATATAACTTATGAATATGAATCTAAAAAATTTGCTCTTGTCTGGTTAAGTGGCAATTGTGTTATATCATGCAGAATGATGTTATAATTATTCTAATAAAGCTTTGTTGTTATAACAAATCCAATTGAATTAAGAGTACTTTAAGTACTCAATGTTGATGAATTTGAAATCTAAATTAAAACATTTAGTACAGATCTTGTGATTGTTTGGACTGAAATCAATCAAAATTCTATTTAATAGTCATATGTTGGAATTTATAATACAAATAATGGGTTTTAAATAAAATAAAATTTAAATGAAAATGAAGATGATATCTCTATCTATCCATAATTATTGATTTAGACTTCATCATATCAAATAATCTATCTTAAGAATAATAACATAATAAATTCATTAACTATAGATAGTACAACTGCAACATATAAACAAATATATGAAACTTCATATTAAATTGATTCTATTTCATCAGAAAATATTGATAGCAGTGGATTAGCAATTGGATGGATTGAGAAGGAAATTAATCAATTTGGAATGGAAAATTATTATGTATATATCTAATGGTTTGATAGATAACTAAATTAATAAGCAATTAAACGAGCTTCCATAAATTCTTTAATAAAAATTAACAATCTAAATCTGAAATATATATATAATTATGGTTAGTTACAATTAACATTCATATAATTTGAAAATACACAATAATAAAGGATTCGTCAATAATTTTAAAATATACATTTTTTAAAATATGGATCTTATTAAGTTTTCTAAACAAGTCCATTAAATATTTTAAGCTAATATAAATCTTATTCTAAATTTTAGGCCTATGTGAATCCTAAAAATTATATGTCTTATGTAGTCTTTTAAGGAGTGATGAATAATGTTAATTAAATATTCTTTATAGAAAAGAAAGAATAATAATCATATTAAGATAATTGTGAAACAAATTGTTTTTATTGTAATACAAATAATTAATGTATAATTTGCAAAGAAGGCTATTCGTTATAGAATAACAAATGTTCTTTGAAACTACCAAATAATTGCGCTGCTATTAGTTATGGTAGATGTTCATAATGTAATATTGGATATTCAATTACAACAGATTATAAATGTTAAATAAGTGATTCTAAATATAAAGAGATAAAAATGAATGAATATTCTGCATAGAGTAGATAGAGAGTATCATCATTTTAGAATGGAGATTATGTAGTTGTATGGTCAACATAATTTTATTAAAATGAAGGTACTAGTGTTTATATGTCATTGTATGATTCATAAGGTATAAAATTAAAAGATGAGACAAGAGTTACTGAATCTTCAGCAGGAATTTAATCACATCCAGATATTTAAGTATTAAGTAATGATGAAATTGTTGTTATTTGGGTAGATGGTAATATTATAGTAAATGCAGATATCAAGATGTAAAGATTTAATAAGGATTTCTAAAGAATTGGAACTGAAGTTATTGTATAAAATAGTATTCATCTATCTTATGCTAAATCACTTGATACACCAATTGTTATTTAATAGACAATTAATGGATTTGTAGTAGTTTGGGCAGAATAAGCAAGTCAAAATTAAATATCATTAATTGCTAAATTCTTTGACAACAACAATAATATGCTTCATTTTTAAGTTGTTACTGAAAATGAATTAATAATCAATGAACCAGTTATTGCTTCTACATAAACTATTATTGTCATTGTTTGGTAAACAAACAAAGGAATCTTTGCAAGTTCATTTAGCTTAAATTTTATATTAATTGATAAAGTATAATTATCTTCGACAGGATAAAGTCCATCAATAAGCTCAGTAGATAATTATATGATTATTGTTTGGAAAGAATATGTTATTGATGAACATGATTTCATGAGTTAAAAAATAAGATTTAGAAAAGTATCAACAAATTTACATTAATATGAATTTTAAAATAACTTTGGTATTCCATAAGAAAATTTAGATAACCCAGATGTAATTTAAATTGAAAATGGATTTGTCATTATTGCTGAAAGTGTTTCTACATAAAATGATAAAGTTAGAACTATCTAATTATAAGTATTTAATTTAGATGGAACATCAAAATCATAATCTGTACTTGTATATTCTGTTTCTAATTTGTACCCACATCATCCTTAATTGATAAGTTTACCATAAGGAAATTTCATTGCTTCATGGACAATTAGTTCTTTAATATCATAAAGCTTAAGTGATGATGTTTATATGAAGAGATATAAAAGTGATGGTACTTAATTACAACTAAACACAATTATTTGTTCAGAACATTGTTAAACATGCACAACCAGCAATACCTGCTAAACTTGTAAGCAAAACTATATTCTATTTAACGATTTATGTTACTTACAAATTAATCATTGTGCCACTCATTTAATTGAAAATTCAATTCTTATTTGTAGCACTTGTAATGATGGTTTCGATTTGATTAAAAATAATTGTTATTAAATTAGTACAATATCAAATGAATAAACAATAGAATTAGCGTATGATAAGAATAATTAAAATTAATTCAAAGTGATAGCTTTTTCTAATGGTGATCTATTATATTTTTGGATTGGGAATACTGTAATAATGACTCAACGATTTGATAAATATGGAAAGAGATATTCTATTCCTAAAAAGTTAGAGACTGGTTATTCTTGTAGTGAGTGCTCTGATTTATGGTTTTTTGATGTTTGTAAACTCGCTGATGATTTCTTTGTAGTGAGCTATAAATATAGCTCTTCAGGAGGTTTATATGCAAGAATTTTCAATTAAAATTAGGAATCTATTGAGGAATATTCTTTTAACTCTTATATAGGAAGTTCTAATTCTATAATATTAAATAAGTATAGTAATTACGTTTTGTAATTGAAATAATTGGATGATATGAAAATTGCACTGATATAAATGCTTATGATATCAGATATTCCTGCATTATAATTAACAATAATACCTTATTATATTGATAGTTCATATAGAATTAAATAATCAAATACACAATAAATCTAATTACTATCTTATTCTTAGTTTTAACATTCTTAAGATATTGACATCTTTGTGATTGAAAATGAAATAAAATTATTTTATAGAGCAGATCCATTGATAAGTTTTAGAGAGAATAATTTTGATACTCTTGGTGTTTTGCTAAATATAAACACTATCAAGAAATCGAATAATTAAATAGAATTTAAAGTAATTTCATTAAATTCGGAAAGCTATTTATGTATTTGGACATCTATTGAATCATTTAAATATGAAGTATTCTACTAAATAAAACAAAGCAAAGGTATTAATGTAACCAGTCCATAAAAAGTCTCTACTGGAAATGAAATCTATAAGTTGGATTTATAAATTAATATACTTTCAGATTCAATAATGATCACTTGGAGAGAAGGGTCATATACTTAAGATATGAGTTTAAATTCTCTTTATAAATTTATATTGATATCAAGAGATACTTATTAATTGATTGGTGAAGTTATTACTATTAATAAAGATAATAATAATATGAAATCATTAAGTAATCTTAGAGTAAATGAATTACCAAATCAAGATATTGTAATTAGTATTATGTTTTATCACATATTATTGGAAACCTAAACTATCATTTCATTCAAATTCAATCAAGTAGGTCAGAAATTAGAATTCTCTTAAATGAGATGTGGATATGCTTGTCAAGAATGTAATCATTAAGGACTCTGTCTCAATTGTATGAATCCTACTTTATATTTATTGTAAGATGATGGAACTTGCAGAAAAAGACCATAAAATTGTCTTAATTTTAAAACTAATTGCAATGATTGTATTGATGGTTATTACAAAACATAATATCTTACTTGTGAAAAAATCAATCAATTTATAGAAACATCTATTCAATTTGACTATGATAAATATTACTATTTCTATCAAGTAGCTTCATATCCTAATGGAAATTTTGTTATTGTTAGTAATAAGGATTACAAAGTTTTAGAATTAAACTATTATCTAAGTAATGGAGTTGCCTAAATATCATAACTCAAAATAATTAATCTTTAAAATATTTAGAGGATTAATAGTTACTCTCTTACTATTGATGATAATAATTTATTAACAATATTTTATAATGTTATGCCAGAATCATATTCAGAGTAAAATAAGTATTACTATCAATAATTTGATCAAAGCTTTAATTAACTTACAGAACCAATATTATTTTATTCAGGGTTGAAAAATAATGAATAGACCACCATGTATACTAAAATTCTGAATAGTGGATAATTTAGTATATTAATTTAGAGTAGATATGATATCTACATTTAAATCATGAATTCTAAATATGAATTTGTTGCAAATTAGATTGTCCCATTTAGTGAAAATTTTGACTTAGTTTCAAATGGAGAACAAATAGTGTTTGCTTACACAACGGATAAAATTTGTATTATTAAAATTTTTGATTTAAAGTTAAGATTAATTAAATATTAAACAATCGATGATGGAGGATTAGTAAAATTAACATTAAATTAACTCAAATAATTTGTTTTAATCACTAAAACATAAATCAATCTTATTAAATCAGGGTTGATATTAGAATCCTTTAATACTACATTATATAATTTATACCCCATACGAATAGCGATAAGTGATATAAATGAAATTGTCATCTTATCATTCAAACAAAACTCAAAGTCTCTTCTTTTGTTTTATTTTTCAATGAAAGGGGTACTTAGAAATCTGATCTAAGTTAATATGTAATATACTGAAATTTAACCCTAATTTACCTGGTTGTTTAAAACACAAAATAATAACTTTATAGTAATCTATCATTCAGGATCAGGAATTTATTATTGGAAGATAAAATTAGCCAGATTTGATTAGATGGGAGTTTCGAGTTCTGTTGATTAGATTATCTGTCCTAATGGTTGTGTTTCTTGTCAAACATCTATAGCTTGTGATATTTGTAGTTTTGGATATCAAAAAAATGATGTAACTTAACTTTGTGAAAAATTTTGCACTTCAGATGGTTGTAGTAAATGCAAATTTAGCGATTGTGATGAATGCTCTGAAGGATTTTAATTTAATAATAAAGGCTAATGTGTGATTATTGAATAATCTAATGAAAATCCTATTGATCCTTACGATCCTAATTATGAGGAAGAAATTAAAGATCCTGTAGATCCAATTATTCCTGTAGATCCTATAGATTCTGCTGATCCAATATATCCTATAGAAATTGGAACTATAGAGCATCCTATTGAAAAGCAATGCAATCTATAAATGCAAAATAAATTAATTAATTTCGTTAACAATCGATATGCAATCATCTATATTTGTAATGAGCTTCTAAGTGCAAAATTATTTAATTAAGATGGTTAAGAGATACAGAGCTTTAGTATCACAATCGAAATTATATTTATTTTTGATGCTACATTCTTTGATAATTAAATTATTTTAGCGTTTGTCTTTACAAATAAGCCAAAACAAAGCCAAATCTTTTCTATTGATGATAAATTTTAAAGTATTGTTCATAAATAAGAAACAACATACGATTCCGAAATATAAAGTATCAAAATATAACCTTTAATTCAAAACTTTGTAATTTTAATCTCAAATGATAAAAAAATTGAATTTGAATAAAAAACTACTATTTGTTATTCCTAAACTCTTACTATTTATGATAATTTATATACATAAACTGTCAATAAATTAGATATCAATTATCCAGATGGTATAACTCCGAATACTTGCAACCAAAACAAAGTTTAGGAAATTAAAGTATTTGAAAATATAATTTATACATTATCAATTAGTTCATTAGAAGCATAACTTATATCGATGGATACTTTTGGAGTAGTTCAAAACACATTTAAGTTAGATGTTCCAAATATAGATAAAATAAAATTTGATATTAATCTTGATACTGTGAGTTTTATATACAAAACATTTGATACATAAAATTGGAATTTAAGAATATGTAATAGACTTCTTATTATTATCTTTGTCAAAATTAATTATATTCCTGGAAATTTAAATGTTTAACTTTCTTCTGTAGAAAATAGTTTATTTGTATCTTGGAATGAAAATAATAGTATTTCAAGTTCATATTATGAGTTATTAGATTCATTTGGAAATCAAATCTCAAAAGGAGTAATTAAAAGTAGTACATAAATTGAAAGTCCTTAAATTGAAGTATTGATGAATTCTTTCATATCCTTAACTTGGACAAATAAAAATAAAGATTCACAGTGGGGGCTTTCTTATGCCATTATGAATTAAAATGGAAATTTCGTTGATGCAATAGAAATTCAATGTTCTTTAAATTGTAAAACATGCACTAACAAAAATTTATGTACAACCTGTGAATTAGGATATAATTTAATACAAATTAATTAAAATGAAAACTTGTGCTTAAAGGAGTGTGATTAAAATTGTATTAATTGTGATAATTTGGGAAGATGCTACTAATGCGTGGAAAATTATTATTAGTCAAATTATTAATGTAAATTTGATGAAATTTAATCTAAATCAGTAAGAATTAATTAATACTCGTAACAGAGTTAGACATAATAATAAGGAGCAAAATTTAGTGATGGTTCTATCATAGTTGTTTGGTCAAGTAATTATTAAGATGGTGACAGTTGGGGAGTGTATGCCTAATTAATTGATAATGCTGGTGTTAAAATAGGAGACAATATAAAAATTAGTTTGAATTCTTAAGGAGCTTAACATTCTCCTTATGCAGCTGTATTAAAATATGATAAAGTTTTAATAATATATATTGATGGAGATCCTTCCAATGGTAATGCTATTTTGAGAGCTTAAAAATTCGATCAACCGATGGGAAGAATTGGAGATGAGTTTTAAGTTGCTTAAATTTATAATAGTAATTACAGCTTAAATAAAGAACTTATTTGTAAAGTGTTAAATTTAAAAAATGGAGGATTTGTTATTGGATATGTAAATGAACTTTAAAATACCTATTAAAAATTCATTCATCTAAAATTTTATGATTAATAGGGTGACTTTGTAGTTGAATAATAAATTGAAATCTCAATCAAAAATTGGTAAGATTCTTTAGAAATCGCTTCTACAGAATTCAACGTTGCTGTAATATATGAAACTGATTTATTTTTATCTAATGTTAACTTATATTCTTTGGATGGATAATTCCTATCAAATAAATAATTGAACCAATTTAATTAACAAACTATAAGCTAGCAAACTTTAAGTAGCACGAATTCATATTATGGATTAGGATTCCAATAATTTGAATAAGATAGATTCTTTGTTAAGCTTTAACTGTTTGATCAATATTTTAATGAGTTAGGAGATATATAAAATGTTAAAGTTTTAGAACCTTAGAACGGATATATACAGTTTATAAAAATTAATGAATACAATGAAGGACTATAGATTTTAGTTTCAATGAAAGCTAATTAATAATAAGTTTAAGAGCTTTATCTAGTTAAAGATCAGCAAATCTACTATTTAAATTAATTTTACTTATCTGATAATGTTTACCAATAACAATAGAAATCAATAAATATCATCTAATCAGTGAATTAGAAATACTTTTTACTTTGGGTATAATTCAATTAAATGAATAACATAGATAAGTCGAATATTCACTATTCACTTTTATCAAAAGATCAATAAATATTAACATAAAATTAGATTGTTTGCTAATTAAATTGTTTCAAATGTGAATAGCCAACTCTTTGTGATCAATGTTTTGATGGTTATAATTATAATCAAAATGAATGTTAGCCAATTTGTGAAACTAATTGTGAAATATGTTTTATTCCATCTTATTGTAATAAATGCAGTAAGGGTTACTATTTACAAGAAGAAGGAAAATGCTCTGCTATCTCAATAAATTAATAAGAACCTTAAGTTTTATTATAATATTAACCAACCGAAAAGTTACTTGAGTTAGAAAAATTAAATCTTGTTGAATTGGCTTCATTTACTTAGATCAACCCCTAGTAATTTAGTGTTAAAATTATGGTTGGAGAATAAGTAATAAGATCTTATACCATTAATGGCTTAATACCTGATTATCAATCTGTTGAAATCTTTTATTAAGAAACAAATATTATCTTGGTGTATTATCAAGAAACCTAAGTTCGAATTCAAACGTTTGATCAAAATTAAAATTTAATAAATGATGGCTTATTACCCTTTTCATAATTCCCAGAGTTTTAGCTCAAGCCAGAAAACGTGATTTTAGAACCAATCTTGGGTTCTTAATATTCTCTTACGTTTTATGAATAAACTTTCTAAACAATAGAAAAAAAGGTTTCTTTTAAATTTTTCAATGTACGATTAGATTCAATGTTAACAAAAATAGATAATTTTAGGGATTTCTTTTAGACCCAAGATTGGATATAATTCATTGAAAAAAGAAAAAATTACTTTATAATGTTTAATTTTGCCTAGGTGACGATTATAAGATAGGATTAATTTGAATATTAAAGCTGTCAGCAATTTTAATTGCATGATAGGTTTTCATGCAGCTAATTTTCATGCCAAAATGGAAATCAAATTGCAATATCTGAAACGTTATCAAAGGTGTCTTACATGGATGATGTGTAGAATTCTGGTGGCAAGATTATTAATTATAAAATCTATAATTAAAAAGCAGGAACTATAATTTAAGAAACAACAGTTTTGAATTAAGGGTTCAGTCGATAGAGACTCATTAAATTGTTCACATATACTAATTCATTTGCAACATTTATAGAACAATAAAATTACAATATTAATTCAAATTAAAGACAATTGGTAGTTCAATATATATATAATACTGGTAAAAAAATTGGTGATTACATATATATTTGTTCTTATGAAGAAAATACTTTCATGGAAATAATCTAATTCTAAAATGGATTCAAAATATATTGGTAGAAATAAGAATGTGATGATTAGGGATGTTCTAATAATTTAGTATGGAATACATATGATAGAGATAATGATTTACCAGATCCATCTGAGCCTCAAATAATCATTAATGATCCAATTAAAGATGGAAAAGGCATTGAAGTTGCAGAAAAATGTACTTAAGAGATGATGAAAAAACTTATTAAATTCTCTAACAACGACTATGCTATTTTATATATTTGTTAGAATATTATGAGAATGAGGAAATTCGATAAGGAAGGTTTATAACTAAACTTTATTGAAGTTACTCTTGAATTGATTCATTTATTTGATACAACTGTAATAAATAATGAAATCTATGTAAGTATGGTTGATACTTTAGATAAGAGAATATGTAAAATATATAAATTAGATTAATTCACAAACACTTTGATATTTTAACAGGATTATATTCATGATTCATAAATTTTTGATATTAAAATGGAGGGATTGCAAATTTAGTATGTCCTTTTAATATCAAGTTTCAAAAACTATATTTTTGATAATGAATCTTTAGTTGGACGTTCTTAATCATTAATTATATATGATACATCAAATGTGAAAATCTTTGAAAAAATAGATATCAATTATCCTGAATTAATGACAATTGAAAATTGTGATAAAAGCTTTATCAAAGCATTAAAAGTTTTAGAGGATAGAATTTATTTAGTAAATGTGAATTAGAATAATGCAAATTTAATTCAATTAGATATCAATGGAGTCTAATTATCATCCAATATATTAGATATTCCTAATATAGCAGAAATCAAATTTGAAATATCAAAAGAATTGATTGTCTTTTTTTATTAACTGTTAGGCTAGTCATAATGGGGAATGAGAATTTACACTCAGATAATGGTTATAATTTATATTAAAGAAGATGTCTTAATGGAAATCAAAGATCTTTCAATAGCTGTTTCTGAAGTTGCAATTACCTTAAGTTGGAGTGAAGTGAATGAACAGGAAATATTCTATTAAACTATTGATAAAATGGGAACAATTATTAAATCTGGATCAATAAAGAATGATTAATAAAATAGCAAGCCTATGCTAATAGTTTTATTAAATATTTATGTTGGATTTGTCTGGGAAGTTCAAAACATTTAAGAGCTACGAGGATTGCAGCTATCTATAATGAACAACCTAGGAGAATTTTCCAGATAGATGCAAATAATTTGCTCTCCTAATTGTCTTTAATGTGCAAATAATTAATTGTGTACAAACTGTGAATAAGGATATTATTTAATACAAATTAATTAAAATTAAAACTAATGCTTAAAGGAGTGTGATAAAAATTGTATTAATTGTGATAATTTGGGAAGATGCTACTAATGCGTGGAAAATTATTATTCGTCAAATTATTAATGTAAATTTGATGAAATTTAATCTAAATCAGTAAGAATTAATTAATACTCATAACAAAGTTAAACTTAATAATAAGGAGCAAAATTTAGTGATGGTTCTATCATAGTTGTTTGGTCAAGTAATTATTAAGATGGTGACAGTTGGGGAGTTTATGCCTAATTAATTGATAATGCTGGTGTTAAAATAGGAGACAATATAAAAATTAGTTTGAATTCTCAAGGAGCTTAACATTCTCCATATGCAGCTGTATTACACTATGATAAAGTTTTAATAATATATATTGATGGAGATCCTTCCAATGGTAATGCAATTTTGAAGGCTTAAAAATTTGATAAATTTATGCAAAGAATAGGAGATGAATTTTAAATTGCTTAAATTTATAATAAAAAATACAGCTTAAATAAAGATTATTCTTGTAAAGTATTAAATTTTAAAAATGGAGGATTTGTTATTGGATATGTAAATGAACTTTTGACTAATTAAAAATTTATTCATCTAAAATTCTATGATTAAGAGGGTGACTTTGTACGTGAATAATAAATTGAAACATCATTCAACAATTGGTAAGATTCTTTTGAAATTGCTTCTACTGAAAACAACGTTGCTGTAATATATGAAACTGATTTATTTTAATCTAATGTTAATTAATATTATTTGGATGGAAAATTCCGATCAAATAAATAATTGAACCAATTTAATTAACAAACTATAAGCTAGCAAACTTTAAGTAGCACGAATTCATATTATGGATTAGGATTCCAATAATTTGAATAAGATAGATTCTTTGTTAAGCTTTAACTGTTTGATCAATATTTTAATGAGTTAGGAGATATATAAAATGTTAAAGTTTTAGAACCTTAGAACGGATATATACAGTTTATAAAAATTAATGAATACAATGAAGGACTATAGATTTTAGTTTCAATGAAAGCTAATTAATAATAAGTTTAAGAGCTTTATCTAGTTAAAGATCAGCAAATCTACTATTTAAATTAATTTTACTTATCTGATAATGTTTACCAATAACAATAGAAATCAATAAATATCATCTAATCAGTGAATTAGAAATACTTTTTACTTTGGGTATAATTCAATTAAATGAATAACATAGATAAGTCGAATATTCACTATTCACTTTTATCAAAAGATCAATAAATATTAACATAAAATTAGATTGTTTGCTAATTAAATTGTTTCAAATGTGAATAGCCAACTCTTTGTGATCAATGTTTTGATGGTTATAATTATAATCAAAATGAATGTTAGCCAATTTGTGAAACTAATTGTGAAATATGTTTTATTCCATCTTATTGTAATAAATGCAGTAAGGGTTACTATTTACAAGAAGAAGGAAAATGCTCTGCTATCTCAATAAATTAATAAGAACCTTAAGTTTTATTATAATATTAACCAACCGAAAAGTTACTTGAGTTAGAAAAATTAAATCTTGTTGAATTGGCTTCATTTACTTAGATCAACCCCTAGTAATTTAGTGTTAAAATTATGGTTGGAGAATAAGTAATAAGATCTTATACCATTAATGGCTTAATACCTGATTATCAATCTGTTGAAATCTTTTATTAAGAAACAAATATTATCTTGGTGTATTATCAAGAAACCTAAGTTCGAATTCAAACGTTTGATCAAAATTAAAATTTAATAAATGATGGCTTATTACCCTTTTCATAATTCCCAGAGTTTTAGCTCAAGCCAGAAAACGTGATTTTAGAACCAATCTTGGGTTCTTAATATTCTCTTACGTTTTATGAATAAACTTTCTAAACAATAGAAAAAAAGGTTTCTTTTAAATTTTTCAATGTACGATTAGATTCAATGTTAACAAAAATAGATAATTTTAGGGATTTCTTTTAGACCCAAGATTGGATATAATTCATTGAAAAAAGAAAAAATTACTTTATAATGTTTAATTTTGCCTAGGTGACGATTATAAGATAGGATTAATTTGAATATTAAAGCTGTCAGCAATTTTAATTGCATGATAGGTTTTCATGCAGCTAATTTTCATGCCAAAATGGAAATCAAATTGCAATATCTGAAACGTTATCAAAGGTGTCTTACATGGATGATGTGTAGAATTCTGGTGGCAAGATTATTAATTATAAAATCTATAATTAAAAAGCAGGAACTATAATTTAAGAAACAACAGTTTTGAATTAAGGGTTCAGTCGATAGAGACTCATTAAATTGTTCACATATACTAATTCATTTGCAACATTTATAGAACAATAAAATTACAATATTAATTCAAATTAAAGACAATTGGTAGTTCAATATATATATAATACTGGTAAAAAAATTGGTGATTACATATATATTTGTTCTTATGAAGAAAATACTTTCATGGAAATAATCTAATTCTAAAATGGATTCAAAATATATTGGTAGAAATAAGAATGTGATGATTAGGGATGTTCTAATAATTTAGTATGGAATACATATGATAGAGATAATGATTTACCAGATCCATCTGAGCCTCAAATAATCATTAATGATCCAATTAAAGATGGAAAAGGCATTGAAGTTGCAGAAAAATGTACTTAAGAGATGATGAAAAAACTTATTAAATTCNATCAAATAAATAATTGAACCAATTTAATTAACAAACTATAAGCTAGCAAACTTTAAGTAGCACGAATTCATATTATGGATTAGGATTCCAATAATTTGAATAAGATAGATTCTTTGTTAAGCTTTAACTGTTTGATCAATATTTTAATGAGTTAGGAGATATATAAAATGTTAAAGTTTTAGAACCTTAGAACGGATATATACAGTTTATAAAAATTAATGAATACAATGAAGGACTATAGATTTTAGTTTCAATGAAAGCTAATTAATAATAAGTTTAAGAGCTTTATCTAGTTAAAGATCAGCAAATCTACTATTTAAATTAATTTTACTTATCTGATAATGTTTACCAATAACAATAGAAATCAATAAATATCATCTAATCAGTGAATTAGAAATACTTTTTACTTTGGGTATAATTCAATTAAATGAATAACATAGATAAGTCGAATATTCACTATTCACTTTTATCAAAAGATCAATAAATATTAACATAAAATTAGATTGTTTGCTAATTAAATTGTTTCAAATGTGAATAGCCAACTCTTTGTGATCAATGTTTTGATGGTTATAATTATAATCAAAATGAATGTTAGCCAATTTGTGAAACTAATTGTGAAATATGTTTTATTCCATCTTATTGTAATAAATGCAGTAAGGGTTACTATTTACAAGAAGAAGGAAAATGCTCTGCTATCTCAATAAATTAATAAGAACCTTAAGTTTTATTATAATATTAACCAACCGAAAAGTTACTTGAGTTAGAAAAATTAAATCTTGTTGAATTGGCTTCATTTACTTAGATCAACCCCTAGTAATTTAGTGTTAAAATTATGGTTGGAGAATAAGTAATAAGATCTTATACCATTAATGGCTTAATACCTGATTATCAATCTGTTGAAATCTTTTATTAAGAAACAAATATTATCTTGGTGTATTATCAAGAAACCTAAGTTCGAATTCAAACGTTTGATCAAAATTAAAATTTAATAAATGATGGCTTATTACCCTTTTCATAATTCCCAGAGTTTTAGCTCAAGCCAGAAAACGTGATTTTAGAACCAATCTTGGGTTCTTAATATTCTCTTACGTTTTATGAATAAACTTTCTAAACAATAGAAAAAAAGGTTTCTTTTAAATTTTTCAATGTACGATTAGATTCAATGTTAACAAAAATAGATAATTTTAGGGATTTCTTTTAGACCCAAGATTGGATATAATTCATTGAAAAAAGAAAAAATTACTTTATAATGTTTAATTTTGCCTAGGTGACGATTATAAGATAGGATTAATTTGAATATTAAAGCTGTCAGCAATTTTAATTGCATGATAGGTTTTCATGCAGCTAATTTTCATGCCAAAATGGAAATCAAATTGCAATATCTGAAACGTTATCAAAGGTGTCTTACATGGATGATGTGTAGAATTCTGGTGGCAAGATTATTAATTATAAAATCTATAATTAAAAAGCAGGAACTATAATTTAAGAAACAACAGTTTTGAATTAAGGGTTCAGTCGATAGAGACTCATTAAATTGTTCACATATACTAATTCATTTGCAACATTTATAGAACAATAAAATTACAATATTAATTCAAATTAAAGACAATTGGTAGTTCAATATATATATAATACTGGTAAAAAAATTGGTGATTACATATATATTTGTTCTTATGAAGAAAATACTTTCATGGAAATAATCTAATTCTAAAATGGATTCAAAATATATTGGTAGAAATAAGAATGTGATGATTAGGGATGTTCTAATAATTTAGTATGGAATACATATGATAGAGATAATGATTTACCAGATCCATCTGAGCCTCAAATAATCATTAATGATCCAATTAAAGATGGAAAAGGCATTGAAGTTGCAGAAAAATGTACTTAAGAGATGATGAAAAAACTTATTAAATTCTCTAACAACGACTATGCTATTTTATATATTTGTTAGAATATTATGAGAATGAGGAAATTCGATAAGGAAGGTTTATAACTAAACTTTATTGAAGTTACTCTTGAATTGATTCATTTATTTGATACAACTGTAATAAATAATGAAATCTATGTAAGTATGGTTGATACTTTAGATAAGAGAATATGTAAAATATATAAATTAGATTAATTCACAAACACTTTGATATTTTAACAGGATTATATTCATGATTCATAAATTTTTGATATTAAAATGGAGGGATTGCAAATTTAGTATGTCCTTTTAATATCAAGTTTCAAAAACTATATTTTTGATAATGAATCTTTAGTTGGACGTTCTTAATCATTAATTATATATGATACATCAAATGTGAAAATCTTTGAAAAAATAGATATCAATTATCCTGAATTAATGACAATTGAAAATTGTGATAAAAGCTTTATCAAAGCATTAAAAGTTTTAGAGGATAGAATTTATTTAGTAAATGTGAATTAGAATAATGCAAATTTAATTCAATTAGATATCAATGGAGTCTAATTATCATCCAATATATTAGATATTCCTAATATAGCAGAAATCAAATTTGAAATATCAAAAGAATTGATTGTCTTTTTTTATTAACTGTTAGGCTAGTCATAATGGGGAATGAGAATTTACACTCAGATAATGGTTATAATTTATATTAAAGAAGATGTCTTAATGGAAATCAAAGATCTTTCAATAGCTGTTTCTGAAGTTGCAATTACCTTAAGTTGGAGTGAAGTGAATGAACAGGAAATATTCTATTAAACTATTGATAAAATGGGAACAATTATTAAATCTGGATCAATAAAGAATGATTAATAAAATAGCAAGCCTATGCTAATAGTTTTATTAAATATTTATGTTGGATTTGTCTGGGAAGTTCAAAACATTTAAGAGCTACGAGGATTGCAGCTATCTATAATGAACAACCTAGGAGAATTTTCCAGATAGATGCAAATAATTTGCTCTCCTAATTGTCTTTAATGTGAAAATAACTAATTATGTACAATTTGTGAATTAGGATATAATTTAATACAAATTAAATAAAATGAAAACTTGTGCTCAAAAAAGTGCGATTAAAATTGTATTAATTGTGATAATTTGGGAAGATGCTACTAATGTGTGGAAAATTATTATTTGTCAAATTATTAATGTAAATTTGATGAAATTTAATCTAAATCAGTAAGAATTAATTAATACTCATAACAAAGTTAGATTTAATAATAAGGAGCAAAATTTAGTGATGGTTCTATCATAGTTGTCTGGTCAAGTAATTATTAAGATGGTGACAGATGGGGAGTTTATGCCTAATTAATTGATAATGCTGGTGTTAAAATAGGAGACAATATAAAAATTAGTTTGAATTCTCAAGGAGCTTAACATTCTCCTCATGCAGCTGTATTACAAGATGATACAGTTATAATCATATATATTGATGGAGATCCTTTCAATGGCAATGCGATTTTAAAAGCTTAAAAATTTGATAAACTGATGCAAAGAATAGGAGATGAATTTTAAGTTGCTTAAATTTATAATAATTTATACAGCTTAGAACATGAAAATACTTGCAAAGTATTAAATTTAAAAAATGGAGGATTTGTTATTGGATATTTAAATGCAATTTAAAATACTTTTGGAAAATTTATTCATCTAAAATTCTATGACTAATAGGGTAACTTTGTAGTTGAATAATAAATTGAAGCATCATATGATCCTAACTTCTTTGATTATCTAAATATTGCTACTGCTGATAATCTTGCTGTAAGTTATAAAAATGGATATTGGGATA